CTGGTCCTGGCGCTGGGAGCGGGGCTGGCGGGGGGCAGCAGGGCCTGCTCTTTCTTTAGAGGGATGGAGGGCCCCAAGTTGGATGTAAAACGCAGGAAAGCAAAGGCGTCTGCTCTGCCCCATCCACCTCCCAGCCTCAAAGCAACTGGCTCTCCGCACTGACTCTAAAGAAAGGCCAGATTGATAAAGAACAAAAAGAAAATCCATAAAACGCGGAGTGTAAGCACTGCCTAGCTATTCAGATGAGGTGCATTTGCACTAAAAAACATGACAGTCAACATTACGGGAGCAGCTGTGACAACTGTCTCAGAGACGCAAATACTGGACTAGAGGCAGAATTGCTCCTCCAAAAGACCAAACGTGCCACTCAGCGCCTGAGGCTTTGGGATCCACGGCCCATTCACGAACTCTAAGGCATATGACAATAATATTCCGGCTTATGTTTTGATGTCACTCCAGAGCGGGCTGTGGAGACGGTAAGTGCCTGCATTATAACGAATGCTTTCTGCTTGACAGGAAGGATTCAGTGACTCAAGACTGTAAACAAACAGCGATTCCGTGTTAACACCGGGCACTGCCACTTCCCCTCTGTATGCCCCAGGCACTGTTATCAGACACAATACTTCAAGCAGATCCAAACCATCTACGATTTTTACAAATGCTTACAAAATAATAATAATAAAGGCAGGGGTAGCCCTGACTGCACCACACAGCTCCCAGCGGGATGCCCTGTTAGGTGGAGGCTTGGCAAACTCTGAGAGACATTAATAGCGCATGGAAGATCTACGGTAGGCAACGTATTTTGAATACATATATACATGGTCTTTAATTTTTTATATTGATAATAACTTCAGCTATCTGGCAGGAGCCTTACCCAGCACAGGCAGATGTGCAAGCATGGACTGGGGAAGTCAAAGCCTAGAACAGTGCCTGTAAAACATACTACACAGAATCATCTTCATCTGCATCCTTAGGGAATGTAGACTCAGGAGTGTTGCAAATTCATTGAAATTATCAGCCTCTGTAAACCTTAATGCTATTTTATTAGTTCACTTTAGTAAGTTTACTTCTGATTTTTTTCTGTATTAAAAAAACTTTAAAGCAAAATTTTTGTTTCACAAAGGAAAACAATTTTGTAAATGAGACCAACTCCACACACATTCTAACAAGTAAGGAACTTGCAAGAGAAGTGGCCATTATGGTAATTATCAGTGGATGCTACAAATTATCCAGGTGCTGGACATGAAAGTATCGCACCAAAATGTTTTCAGTCAAACTGCCATTTTATCCTTAGAAGTGATCTGAAAGGTAAAAGGAGGTTAAGCACCCAAATACCTTTGAAGACTTGAACTGAACTCTTAATTTGGGTATCTAACTCCTATTGATTGGGAGCTGATGACAGGACTTTAAAAACCTTTGAAGATCCTGTCTGCCATGCTTTTTAAGTTTCTTTGTCATGAAAAGAAATGACCTTAAAGATTTTCCATTTCTTTCCTTTAAATGATATTAATCCTTCTCTCTTTCAACCAGTATTGTAGTTGGGATTCTTGGAAGACGCTTTAAATAATACCTGAACAGACTTTTGTATTTTATTAGGGAAGGAAAACTTCTACAAAAGAAAAACAACCACTTTTCTTTTTAAACATAAATTTTACAGCTATTTAAGAGAGGAAAAAAGCCCAACAATTTTTTTCACTGACAGACTATTGCCTCCTTTGAGCCGATGATACACAGATAGAAGTTTAAACAGGGATGACCTTTTCCCATGTTTTGTATCGTAAGTATTGTTGCCACATTGGTGAGATACTCCACCTGCCAAAACTTACGCAAAGTGAATACTAGGGATGTTTCACTATATTTTTGTTATGCAAAATCACAGCAAATACAATAATGCGTGTTAGAGTAGATGCTGCCACACTAGTTCTTTCACCCAGATTTAACAGAGGAGCAAAATGGTATTCCCATTTATATAGCTATCTTGTAAAATTAGTTGTTAAAACTACTAAAATCAGCAGCCTACCCAATATCACGTCTGCTATTTTTTCAAACAAAAGTAAAGTCAGTTGAAGAGGTGACAGAATTTAAAAATGCTTAATAGCACGTGCTTTTAAACATTTTGCATGAGACTTTGAAAATCTATGCTTGTAATAGAATCAGGAGACTCTGCACCACACCTTGGGAAAAGATGGATTGAGAAAAGTACTAAATGGCGATTGCGTTACAACTACAGCCATGAAATCTGCGGTTAAAGTGTAAAAAGCAAATTCCTTAGAGACAACATAGCAAGAAAGAGCAGACTTTTGATATCCTGCTGAGGAGGGGTCCTTACGATGAATTACAGCCCAAATCAGTAACGTTTTGAAACATGCTGAGGGCTCTCTGCTCCCATCACTGTAATGACACTGGAGGATGCTCAGCAGTGGTACCCTGTACCAGGTTGGACAATACCTCACTCAATTGTGCCTGAACAATTGAATCAAGAAAGCACTTCAGTGATAACAGGTTCCCCCTGGGAAATTACTAGTTAAGGAGGGAAGGAGGGATATCAGCACAGGAATTTTAAGATGCATGAGGAACTGGGAAACGGGAGGGGGACTGATCACAGCCTGTATGGAAAGGGGAATAATTAGGCTGGAGGAAAGGTGGAAGTTAAAAATCTTGTGAGTTGTCTTTGGGACAATTCTCAGTCTAATTTGAGAATTAAAAGCTAGGACTGGATTAATGACATTGGCTGATTACAAAGTAGGGAATCTCTGTCAGTACAGAAGATTATCAAAATACTAACTGAGAAACCAGATCACCTTTTGGGCTGGAGTACCAAAGATGCTAAATTTTATGCTTACGGACCAGAAACAGGCCTTCTCCAAGTGAAGAGCTGTAGGGTTACCAGTTAGAAATGAGAGAAGAAAAGGAAGGAAAATTGGACCATATTTGTTGACCTATAAGTAGTTGTAACCTACAAACGGTTGTAACGAACCATTTACTGTCACCCTGAATCAAACAAATGTATTATTAGGATGAATTAGGAGAATTGTTTCCAGTAGAGGTAAGGAAACATAACGCCATTGCTGATGTGTCACAGACAAAACCGGAAAGCCTAATGCTATCTGGAACGGGAACCAAGAACGGCTACCAGCATGATGTGACAGGAGGCTGAAAGAGCCAGTACTATTTAACATGGCAAAAACTAAAGCTGTGATTTTGTGACTTCTGGTTAAAAGTGTCCTTGCAGCTAACTATCAGGGAGGAAAAAGAGCATGATGTTTAGGATGATAATCAAACTATTACTGGAATTTGAAACAACTTCCTTCTAGGAATAATGAGGTCCAGGAAACGTAGTGATTAAGATGAAATCTGATAAAATAATGGGATTATATCACACAGTCGATGTGGCAGTAAGGGCTCACAGACTGCAAGGGACCTTCTGGGTCTTGGACCACTCCATTAGAAATGAAAGATCATAAATAGGCTTCTATAAGGGATTGTTTTAAATGAGCTTTTCAGGAAATTGGAAGTGAGGTGCAAATGACCTCAAAGGAAAGAAATTTTTCTATGGGTAGCATGAAGGGAAACTGGTCATGTGGTTTGTGTTATCTCTTTCATCTTACAAAGCCTATGACCTCTTAGAAGAAAGATTATTTTCTTCCTTAATTTATGCATTGTAACTAAGCTTCC